CTACTACTACTACGGAACAAGGCCACAAGAACATCGGACAAGAACATGAGACCCTCCGCGGGCCAAAGTACCCCAAACCATAAGGACGTCGAGGACGCCCTTCCGAGGTGTCCCCGACCTTCACTTCCGAGCCAACGTGCGTAAGTACGCATCTGTTTCAGCCCCCAGCCGAAAGCCTTCGACTGCACAGCCTGGACCACGCAACCCCGAAGCCCTGACCCCCCCGCCCCCCGAGACCCACGCTGTGTTCCTGTGCCCTGGATCTGCCTCCGCGCGTCCGTCGTCATCCACGAGCGCGCGGTTGCTGGAGGCAGCACGTTGACATCGAGACCGAAAAACATGGAGGGTCTTGTCCGCGCCGCGGACGCGCGAGGCCTGCGACCAGCTTAGCCGGGCTCTAGCAGTGGGCCTCAGCGCCACGTCTCACGCCCTGGCACTCATGCACGCGCGCGAGCTCTCGCCCCAACCCCGCGGCGCCCCAGGGAGCCTCGCGCGACCTCGCCTGCTCGCCCCAGACTCAAGGCCGCGGCCGCGCGGCCTGGCCCCCGCCACCCTAGGCCCAGCTCCAGGCTGCTGTTGCCCCAAAACAAGAACATGCGAGGGCGTGCGTCTCCGCGCCGCCGTCATCCACGAGCGCGCGGCTGCTGGAGGCGACACATTGACACCGAGACCGAAGAACATGGAGGGTCCTGCCCACGCCGCGGACGCGCGAGGCCTGCGGCCAGCTTAGGGCTCTAGCAGTGGGCCTCAGCGCCACGTCTCACGCCCTGGCACTCATGCACGCGCGCGAGCTCTCGCCCCAACCCCGCGGCGCCCCCAACAACTCTGGGTTTTGCAGCGGCGCAACTCATGGGTTTTGGTGCATGTGTTCCAGGCCAACATGGCGACTCTTCTATTGCCGATAACGCGAAGCCCCGCACGCGCACACGCCGCCGCGCGCGCGGCGGCGCAGGCGCGGGCGAGGAGTGGTTGTCTGCGCTGTTGTAGAACACATGCACGAAAACCCATGTTAACTTCGAAATCCAATCGGCGACCACTCAGGGTTCACTTTGATTCCCCAGGCCAACATGGCAACTCTTCTATCGCTGATAACGCGGGGCGCCCCACGCGCACGCGCCGCCGCGCGCGCGGCGGCGCCGCCGCGCGCGCGGCGGCGCGGGCGCGCGCGAGGGGTTGTTGTATACGCCGTTGCAAGGCACGTGCACCAGAACCCATGTTGACTTGGAAATCCAATCGGCAGCCGCTAGTGGTCCACTTTGATTCTCCAGGCCAACAGGGCGCTTCTTCTACTGCTGATAACACTGAGCGCCCCACGCCCCTGCGCCGCCGCGCGAGAAGTGTTTGCATGCGCCGCTGCAGAACACATGCACCAAAACCCATGTTAACTTGGAAATCAAACTGCCCACATCCAAGGGCTCCCTTTGAATTCCCCAGTCAACGCGGCAACTATCCTATTGCTGGCGCTGCGGCGTTTCTCGCGCGCGCGCGCCGCCGCGCGCGCGGCGGCGCAGGAACGCGCGAGAAGTTTTGCGCGGGCTGTTGCAGAAGACATGTACCAGAAACCATGTTAACTTGGAAATCCAAGTGGCAACCGCTAAGGGTTCACTTTGATTCTCCAGGCCAACATGGCGACTCTTCTATTGCCGATAACGCGAAGCCCCGCACGCGCACACGCCGCCGCGCGCGCGGCGGCGCAGGCGCGCGCGAGGAGTGTTTGTCTGCGCTGTTGTAGAACACATGCACCAAAACCCATGTTAACTTCGAAATCCAATCGGCAACCACTAAGGGTTCACTTTGATTTCCCAGGCCAACATGGCAACTTTTCTATTGCTGATAACGCGGGGCGCGCGAGGGGTTGTTGTATACGCCGTTGCAAGACACGTACACCAGAACCCATGTTGACTTGGAAATCCAATCGGCAACCGCTAGTGGTCCACTTTGATTCTCCAGGCCAACATGGCGCTTCTTCTACTGCTGATAACACTGAGCGCCCCACGCCCCTGCGCCCGCGCGCGCGGCGGCGCCGCCGCGCGCGCGGCGGCGCAGGCGCGCGCGAGAAGTGTTTGCATGCGCCGCTGCAGAACACATGCACCAAAACCCATGTTAACTTGGAAATCAAACTGCCCACTTCCAAGGGCTCCCTTTGAATTCCCCAGTCAACGCGGCAACTGTCCTATTGCTGGCGCTGCGGCGTTTCTCGCGCGCGCGCGCCGCCGCGCGCGCGGCGGCGCAGGAACGCGCGAGAAGTTTTGCGCGCGCTGTTGCAGAAGACATGCACCAGAAACCATGTTAACTTGGAAATCCAAGTGGCAACCGCTAAGGGTTCACTTTGATTTTCCAGGCCAACATGGCGACTCTTCTATTGCCGATAACGCGAAGCTCCGCACGCGCACACGCCGCCGCGCGCGCGGCGGCGCAGGCGCGCGCGAGGAGTGTTTGTCTGCGCTGTTGTAGAACACATGCACCAAAACCCATGTTAACTTCGAAATCCAATCGGCAACCACTAAGGGTTCACTTTGATTTCCCAGGCCAACATGGCAACTTTTCTATTGCTGATAACGCGGGGCGCCCCACGCGCACGCGCCGCCGCGCGCGCGGCGGCGCCGCCGCGCGCGAGGGGTTGTTGTATACGCCGTTGCAAGACACGTACACCAGAACCCATGTTGACTTGGAAATCCAATCGGCAACCGCTAGTGGTCCACTTTGATTCTCCAGGCCAACATGGCGCTTCTTCTACTGCTGATAACACTGAGCGCCCCACGCCCCTGCGCCGCCGCGCGCGCGGCGGCGCCGCCGCGCGCGCGGCGGCGCAGGCGCGCGCGAGAAGTGGTTGCATGCGCCGTTGCTGAACACATGCGCCAGAGCCCATGCTAACTTGGAAATCTGACTGGCGACGCTGAAGGTTCACTTTGATTTTCCAAGCCAACATGGCGACTCTCCTATTGCTGCCAACGCTGGCCTCTTAACTCGCTTTCGGCAGCGCAGACGCGCATGTCAAGTTTTGCGTGCCCCTCTGTAGGACGCACGCACACACGCACACACGCACGCACGCACGCGCGCACATACCCCGCTCGGATGCCCAACAACCGCCAAACTCTCTCCTAGGATCCTAGGAACCTGCGAGGGCGATTCCTTTCGCGCCACCATCATCCAGGGGGACGCGGTTGCGGATGGCCGCACCTTGACATCGAGACCGAAGAGCATGGAGGGGCCTGCCCGCGCCGCGGATGCGCGAGCCCTGCGGCCTACCCCATGGGCCTTAGCATAGGACCGACATCAGCACTACGTCCTGAACGTCATCCGCACATCCAACCTCCCAGCCCTGCCGCAGCCCAGGAAGCTGCGCGTGGCTTCGCCCGCCCGCCCTAGCCTCATGCCTGCAGCCGCGCACCCTACTCTCCGAAACCTGAAGCCCACTAGCGCCAAGTTCTCCCTTAAGAACATGCGAGGGTGATTGCACTCACGCCGCCATCATCAAGGGGCACGCGGTTGCTGGAGGCCGCACCTTGACATCGAAACCGAAGAACATGGAGGGTCCTGCCCGTGCCGCTGACGCGCGAGCCCTGCGGCCTACGTGCGTACGCAGCCTCAATCAAGCCTGCGTCCGCACGCCCTAAGCCCCGCAGCCCGAAACCCACCAACGCCAAACAGTCCCGTAAGAACATGCGAGGGTGATTGCAATCGCACCACCATCATGAAGGGGCACGCGGTTGCTGAAGGCCGCACCGTGACTTCGGGACCGAAGAACATGGAGGGTCCCGCCCCCGCCGCGGACGCTCGTAGCCGAATCGTGAGCCCCGAACCCCAGCTTTGTCAGAACGAAGGAATAATGGCGCCAAACTGAAGAACATCGAGGATACCCTCCCCCAGGGTGCACAAGAACATGGAACAAAAACGAATAACATAAGGGTACCCTCCCCGAACCACCGAAGTTCTTAAGCCTTGTGCCGGCCGCACTACCACTATTACTATTTTTGTTTTGCACAATGCCGAATGACAGGCACAACCCGCCATTACTCTCAAAAAACTACCACGTGCGCTTGAATTATGCGTCGCCCTTGCATTACACTTTGGAAGTATGTCCACTTCGACGCAAACAACCGGGCACTACCATGACAACCCCTACAAAAACTACCTCGACAATCCGGTGTTGATACTATCATGTCATTGTATGTTGATTGTGTGTCGCCGTGGCCAGCGTCGTCGTCGCCGTTGGTCGTCGTCGGCGTCTTCGTCGGCGTCGTCGCCGTCGTCGTCGGCGTCATCGTTGTCGTCGCCGTCGTCGTCGTCATCGTCGGCCGCGTCGTCGTCGGCGTCGTCGGCGGCGTCGGCGTCGTCGGCGACGGCGTCGTCGCCGTCGGGTCGTCGGGTGGGCTGGCGGGGATGCGCGGAGCGCCAAGAATTGGCAGCGCTTTTGCTCTTCGAGAAAGCATCCGCCGCCTTCGCCCTGGACTGCGCCAAGTCCATGTATTTGCCCAGCTGGCTGCTGGAGTCGACGTCGGCCATGCTCTTGCCCAAGGCGCCCTTGTAGAGCTCCATGGCAATCTTCCGGATCTCAAGGAAAGTGTCCACTTTGGTAGACAGGACCGACACCTGGAGCTCTTCGAGGAAAGCCTCGTCGACCTGCTTGACGATTTTCTCAAGCTCGTCTGCCATCACCTTGGCGTGGCCAACGTGCCCCCTCAAGTGCTTCAGCGCGTCAAGCATGTCCGCTGATACAACGTCAGTCTCATTGCCCGAGTGAAGGCGAGAGAGGATTCGATCGCTGCTGATGACGGCCTGGACGTGGGAACTGGAGGAGTTGGCGGCCTCCTGCGCTGCCAGAATCTCCTCGCGCCAATCGGCAAACGCATCCGTCTTGAACGTGTCGAGGAAGGCGGAGTAGCTCGATAGCAGCGCCATGCGATCCTCTCCGGGCGTTATCTTGGCGCGCTCGCCGGCGGCGTACTCGTTGATCTCCGCGACCAAGAAGTCCTTCACGGCCTGGGAATAGGAGCGGGTGGCCCGCGGGCGGAATCCGGAGACCCACTTGGGCAGTTTATCCATGATAGCTATGATGTTGCTAGCATCGACTCCGCCAGCGTTCACGCCAGCCTCAGCCTGCAAGAAATCGGCTCCATCGCTAATCTCAAAGCGGCCGGTCCTTTGAGCCTCGTTGAAGTGCGCCTCCCAGTCGGGGTGGGACCTCGCGGCGTCAATCAGAGACTGCATCCATTTCTCCTTCTTCTTTGCCGCGCCCCTCTTGGAGCCCACGAAAATATCCTTCATGTGGCTGTGCTCGCCCGGCGTCATGGGGCGATCGCCCATCACGGCCACGTAGGCGGCGCAAAAGGCATCGATTGCACGGGCTGCCGCCATCGTGCCGGCGCCTGCCTGCTGGGCGATATCACTCGCCTCGTCCGGCATGGCCTGCCTCCACTGCTGCGCCACGGAGACCGCTTTATGGCTGTCCGCGCCCAGCAGGCGGATAAAACCATCGCACGCGAAGGTGTCTCTCAGCAAATGGGGCCACGCCGACACTTCCTCTGAGGGGCAACAAGAGCGCGGGACTGGCTCAGAGGGGGGGGCAATAACCTGGAATCGACGACACATCGTCGATAGATCGGCAATGGGCCCCGATGGCGAAACAGGACCTTCCTGGGCGGGGTGGGGCACCCAGGCCTCGATCGGTGATTTATGGGCGATAGGGGGTCGCTGCAGCCCCCCGTGAGCCTATCCCCCCCTGTCGTTGCCCCTGATCCTTGCTGAGGGCCTGTGTAGACCAATCAGCGCTGCTCAGGTCGACGCCCTGCACTTTGTTCTCATCATCGGCCTTGATGGCGATCAGATGCATCAGCGGGCGCTGCCAGTCGAATGCCCGAGGGGCCTCCTCTCCGGCGGATTCTTGGCTCCAGCAGTCGACGGCGCCTTTTGAGCAAGAGGCGATGGGGAAAAGCATCGTGACGAAATCATCCTGCGCGGGGCCATGTGAGAGGTATATTCATTGACGCTCAACAACAACTACACACCTTGTTGACGCCACGTGGCCGCGTGAGCCCACCGCGCCCCATGACAAGCGACGACTAGTCCCCCCGACGCATCGAGCTCCAAATGCGGTGCACTTGCGCAACAAAGTCCAATGTATTTGTTCGCATTTCAAACCAAGAATATGTATCCAAATAGAAAATAATGGGACAGAGCTTCTATGAATTCCCCCCCCTCCCCCCCGCCCCCTCGCGCGGCAGGGATTCCCATGCTGACGCCACTTGGCCGCATGAGTCCGCGGCAAGCCCGGATGGTTTAGCGGAACTTCGCCGGAGCGGGTCGGCAAAGCCGGAATGGTCCGAAACCCATGGCCCAGACAACGCCCCTGAACTGGAAAGGCTAAAATGGCCAAGCTCATATGATCCTGCCGCGCGCCCGACACCTCGGGAATCTGGAATGGTCAGGAACCCATGGATCCATGGCCCTGCCACGCGCTACTGCCTTGGGAATGCCGCGATGGTAAGAGACCCCTGCCCCTGGCCCTGCCAACGCTCGTGACTTGCGAAGGCTGGCATCGTGAAAGCCCTGTGGCCTTGCAGCAATGCAGCGCGCTCGCGACCGGGGAGAACTGAAATGGCGAGAATCCGAGGGGCATGGCGCACGCGCACGACCTGGGAAGGCTGAAATGGCGACAATCCCATGGCCCGCTCGCGACGTTAGAAAGCTGACATGGCGAGAACCTCTGGCCTTAACTCTGGCCCCGCGCACGCCCGTGACCTGGAGGACCGAAATGGTAGGAAAGGGCCTGGAAGGGCTCGGACAACAGGAGCCGCATGGGCCATGCGCGCTCCTGACCTGGAGGGTTCAAGCCGACAATCCGATTGCCCTGGCAAGTTGTGATTTTTCGCGAAGGCAGCTGATTGTAGCAGCCGTGGCCACGCGCGCAGATGGCTCTGAAGCGCCGAAAACGCTTCCTTTTTCAAACTGCACGGAAACCGCAAGCGGAACGGCGATGCTGGGGAGGGCGTTCTCGGACCCCCTTCCAGATGGCCCTAAGAGGGCCGAAAAGAACTCCAATAATTGAGCCTACACGACGGCCCCAATAGCGCCCCAAAGCGTCCCAACGGGGCCGCAAGAGAGCCTCAAAATGCAATTCGCTCGGCCCCCGCGAGGAGCCCGCCCCTGAGACTCCCTGAGAGCTCCAGCATGGCCCCGAGAGAACCCCAGTGCGCCCCACGGGGGCCCCAGGAGGACCCCGAGACCCCCCAGAGAAAAAAACGCGAGGCTCCAAGAGGCGAGTCTGAAAGCTCCTGCGGGGATGGGGGCGAACTCAACGACCCCCCATCGAGCCTTTCACTGTGACCGATGCTCCCCCATGTGGCCTCTGCAAGCCCCACAAAGCCCCCGACGCACCCCAGGAGAGCCCCGAGAATCCAAGAGGACCCCGAAACCCTCCAAACCAGCCCCCAAGAAGGCACCCAGAAGACCCCGACGGAGCACCAACACAAGCAACGCCAGCAGCAGCAGAAGCAACATCACCGACAGCAGCAACCGCAGCAGCAGCACCAGCAGCAGCACCAGCAGCAGCACCACCAGCAACACCAGTAGCAGCACCAGCATCACCAGCACCATCAGCAACCTCAGCATCAGCACCCCTCGCTCCCAAAAGTCTCTCGGACCCTTCTTGCCTGCAATGTTTCATTATTCCAACGCGTGTCTGCAACTCATTGATCCCGCCAGCTCGCGCGGGCATGATTTCTGGGCGCGCGGGGGGGGGGGGGCACGCGCAGCGTCAAGAGCTCAACAAGTTAACCCCCAAGGGTTTGCATCCCAACTCCTCCTTGCCGGCGGACAGCCGCACCATCGCCTCCATCGCCGTCCACCGGCGCCATATCATGTCCGGAATCTCCTACGGGGCGCATAGTGACTATAGTGGGGAGGGGGGGGTGGCCGGGGGGGCACAAAAACCAATCCCCCCCTTTCCCTCCCCCAGGTCCTGGAAGTCGTCAATCAAAGCTTCAATCTTGGTCTTCGCCCCATGGTACTCGGCAACCGTGGGCTCGGCCACGGAAAGCCGCAGGTTGTTAGCGTTTTCCCACACGCGGACGTCGCGCGTGAGGTCGAGGAACTTCCGGGAATGCTGCGACATTCCCGAGGAGTTCAAAGTCTTGCGCATCTTAGTTGGCAAACCGGGCGGACCGCCAGGGCCAGGGCCCTCCCCGCGCCCAATTTCCCCCCCCCCTGCCGCGCCACGCGGAGGTGGGCGAGAGCACGAGCTACGGGCCCACCCCCTCGGCCCGAGGCCCGCATGGAGCGGGGGGGGGGGCGTGGCGGGCGCGGGGGGGGCGCGGGCGCAGGCGGGGGCCCGGACCTCTGGATCGAAGCTCCGAGGATCGAAGACCGAGGAACGAGGCTCGAGGATTTCGGGTCGACGACGACGACGACGACGACGACGACGACGACGCCAACGCCGACGACGACGACGACGACGACGACGACGACGACGACGGCGACTCGAAACGGTCGGGGCTCGAGGATCGAGGCTCGGGGCTCGGGGCCCAGACCTCCGGGTCGAAGCTCGAGGGTCGAGGTCGGGCGTCGCTGTTCGTTTTGGGGGCCCCCTGGAGCTCCATCGTCGCCCCGGCAAGATCCGCCTCGAAATTCTGTTCAGGGCGCGCGCTGCAAGACTGGCCCGGGGGGTCGAGTTTGTGCGAGGGGGGAGGGAAAGGAGGAGGAGGCGAGATGAGGAGGAGTACGAAGAGGAGAGGAGATGATGATGATGACGATGATGATGATGATGATGATGATGATGATGCTGACGATGATAATGGTGATGATGGCGAGGAGGAAGAGGAGGAGGAGATGAGGAGATGAGGAGATGAGGAAAAGGCCGACGAGGAGAGATAGGAGGAGGAGGAGGAGGAGGAGGAGGAGGAGGGGGGATGAGGAGGGGGAGGGAGGAGGAAGAGGAGGAGGAGGAGGAGGAGGAGGGAGAGGAGGGAAAGAGGGAGGAGGGGAGGGGGGTGAGGGAAGAAGAGGAGGGAGGAGGAGGCAGGAGGAGAAAGGGAGGGAGGAGGAGGGACGAAGGAGGGAGGAGGACAGAGGAGGGGCAGGAGGAGGAAGGAGAAGGAGGAAAGAAGGAGGAGGAAGTCCTGGGGTCCTGGAGCTAACATATTTGCTCCAGGAGTGAGTGGTAGGAGGAGGAGGACGAAGAGGAGGACACGAGGAGGGGGAATTCCTGGAGCTAGCAGCTAGCATTTTTCTAATACAGAAGTGATGAAGGAAGGAGGAGTTCCTGGGGATAACATCTTTGCTTCCGTAGCGAGGAGAAGGAAAGGAGAAGGAGTACGAGGATAAATTCCTGGAGCAAACGCTTTGTTTCAGAGTGGGGAGGGGGAGGAGGAGGAGAAGGAAGAGGAGGAAAGGAGGAAGCGGAGCAGGATGACTTCTGGAGGTAACACTTCAAGGATGCATTCCTGGAGCTAACATTTTTGCTTAAGGAGTGGCCCTTGTCTTGAGTCGTTTTGGGCCCTCGTGGGGCCGTCTTGGGGCTCTCGTGGTTTCTCTGAAGGCTCTAGGAGAGCCCGATATGGCCCCAATACGACTCCAAGATTGGGAAGGGAGAGTGGACGAGGGTGAGGATTGAGAGGCGGTGCGCAAGCGAACCAATGGAAAAGCTATTGCTTTTATTTCTCGGGGCCTTCCAGGGGGGCCTCTGAGAAGCCTCTTCGGGCGACTTAGAGGCCTTTTGGGGGAAGACCCCCTCGGAGAGCGGCGGGGGGGTCTGCGCTGCATCGCGGCCCAAAGAAACAAACAATAATATTAGAAACGCATATCCTCGAACATCGGGCCCACGACCTCTTTCCTGTTTCGCGGCCCCTGGGTCCGAAAGCGGCCCCCGCGAGCAGGAAGAACCTCCGTGGAGCGGGCAGGGGGGCCGCGATATTCTAGCGCTGGTCTTGCGGGTCCTGGGCCCAAAACCCAGCGCCGGGACAACTGCGTTCCAAGAAAGCCCCGACCCTCACAGAGCGGCCGGCCGACCGTGGGCGCTGAGGCCCCGTCGCCAGCAATCTGTATCTTCACGTTGGGCCAGCGGCCCTCCATGATCGAGTGCGCATCGATATCAAGGTTCATCGAGTCCTTCTCATCCGGTGTCTTGTCCCTGCGTGTCGGGCCCTTGCTGCGCATCTCTTCGCCAGACAAGTCAACCTGGACGTCGACGGCGGCCGAGGCTGCGGAGCCGCGCGCCCTGCCGGAGGGCCGCTTGCCAGTGCCAGCCGGGTCAATGAGCAAATCCTGGCGCATCTGGGCCATGATAGCCGCGCGCTTGGCCGCTGCCTGGCCGCCGCCGCGGCCGCGGCCCTGGCAAATAAGGGGGATGCCAGGCGAGGCAACGGCAGCGACACCGCGACCCCCAGGCCTTTCCCAGGCCCCAACGCGTCAGTTTTTGGAGCTGCGCCCAGCCGCGGCAACTAACGGAATCTGAAAAGCGGTCGTCGTCTCTGACTGGCTTCCCCGGTCACAAGTGGGGGCAATGGTCGGAGTGCCGCGGCGCGGCGCGGGCCCGTGGCTGGGGGGGAGTGGTGTACCAGGCCCGCTCTTCGAAAATGTGTTTTCTCTTACAGAACCAGCTAAGCGATTCTATAGCCACTCCACTACCAACACACAGTTGGACAGAGATGACCGCGGGCCGCTGTGGCGCACAGGCCACCCCAACATGGCCCCATTACCAGTGGGAGGGCGGATCGCCCAAGATAGCCTCCAATATAATTTAAAGCCATTCCGCATAGCATTCCACCCTGCGCCCAAGAGGCCCAAACAGCGCCCCCGGGCGGTTCCAATAAGCCTCGGGGCCGCCAGAGGAAGACCCAACGTTGCTCCGGGCCCAAGGCGCCGGCCTCTTGAAGAGCGAACGCCAGCATCTTGGAAACCAATGGGTGGCCGCGTGGGGGCGGCCCCCCGAAGTTAAACGAGAGGGCCCTAGTGAGCCCTAGTTGGCCCCGCGCGCAAGCCCTGCGCTCCCAGGAGGGCCCGGCATATGGAGGGCCCACAAAGCACCCAGAATGATTCCAAGATGGCCCCAAGGCCCAAGAGCCTCCCCGCAGACACCGCCCGCCTGTGCAACGGCCTGTATCCAAAGAAACGTTTGAGAAGCACCGCCGCAGTATAAGGCTACGGATGCCCCGCGAGTCCTGTGCCTTGGCCGCGGGGGCCTGCGTGCTCGCAACTGCTGCGTTGCGCGCCGTCCGCGACAACAGCGAGCCGCCGACTGGGAGCACCTCGTCATCGGAGTCGGCGACGCCGCCGGGGACCTGGATCACCTGCGCCTCGAGGTCCCTCTTCGCCTTGTCTGCAATGGGGGCAATCTCCTTCAACGTCTTCACTACTTGACGCCTCTCCGGCCGGAAGTCTGTGTCACGATAGCTGTCAGCATTCTCGCGAATCAGACATTTGTACGTCTCATGGCACTGCGCTTCCCGGTACTGCTGCCCGGGGCCAACCACGTTCTCGTTCACTTTGAAGAATGCCTGGGAGAACATCGAAACTCGGCGGTAGAGGTGCGGGGGGTCCTCGGGCGATGGCTTGACGAGCACCCCGGTGATCTTACCCCGGCCGTCCTCAGAAGGGATGTCCATCGTCTGGAAGCCGGACTGGGCGGGAGTGATGTGGAACATGTCGGCAAAATCGCTGAGGGTAAGGAACCAGTATAAGGTCTCGACCTTCATCCCGGCCTGCTGGACGAAGCCGACAAGGGACTCATTTCTCCACGTCCGCTCTCCACCCTGCTGAATCTTTTCAGCTTTGCTCCAGTCCTTGGCGAACAACTCATCGGTTTCAGCCTTTTCGCAGCACTCATCCCAAGAAAGTTCGGGAAATGCTTGCTTCACGTCCCAGCACATCTCGCACTTGTCCAGGTCGACGAAGCGCAAGCTGGTGTCGTCCTATGGGGCGCGCGATTACAAGCGTGGATGCCTCAATCGCACGCTTTCCCTTCACTATTCAAGCGAGGGGGGCGCCGCGTCATGAAGCGGGGCGGCCCCCCCCCCCTCCCTTGCCCGGTCTGGAACCTTCCACCGCCGACAGGTTCGGAGGTCCAAGAAAATGCCTCAAGATGACCCAAGACGGCTCCACGAAACCCAAGACTGCCTCCAATATCGCACAAAACGGCCCAACATGTTTTAACGCGGCTCAAGCGAGCCCGAAACCGTTCCAGGGCGGCCCCCAAAGGCCACGGAGCCTCACAAGGAGGACCGCACTGAAGCCTTTTCGCCTTGTCGATTCCGAGGGGCCCTCCAAACCTTAAGATGGTTCCACGATGGAGCGGCCCGGGAGAGCGCCATGGCGGCAGCTAGTGCGCCCGAGGATGCACCCCAAGAGCAACCTGGGAGGGCCCGGACAGATGAAGATGATTTTGCAGGCCCCGGCGGAAAGCAACCGAACTCGTTTCTGATCGATGTCCTCCGAGAAGGGCCCACTGCGGCCCTCGCAAAACACACGAGGGCCCCAAAGAGGCACAAGACAACCTAAGAGGCCTCCATAACGGCGCCACGGAGGTCCCACAAAGGCCCCCAAACACCCCCAACGCGCTTCACGAGCGACAGAGATGCATGGGCCCCTGCCTTCATGGCAGACTGCTGTCGCTGTCTGTCACCGCCGCCGTCGCCGCCGCCGCGTTCGCCGTCGTCGTCGTCGTCGTCGTCGTCGTCGTCGTCGTCCGAATGGGTGAGCTCACGCCCCGTCGTCGTCGTCGTCGTCGTCGTCGTCGTCGTCGTCTGGACGGGAACGAACAAACATAAAGCTGACAACCGCCAGCCAGGGTCCTGAGAATTCGCCTTGCACTTCCGACACACCTTCACCCTCTTCTGCTTTTTCACGGTAGACGCCGGGTCCGGGACCTCGTCCGCCAAGCGGTCGCCATCGTCGTCTGAAGGGCCGCCCTCTCTCTTCGACCGTTTAATCTGCTCCCGCTTGCAGCCCGCACCTGGCATCTCCAGATTCGCAGACATTCGCGCGAAGTGTGCCGAGAAGAATGGGGGCGGCAAGCACTGCGCCAAACCCTGCGCGCTCAAGCCTAAAAGGAACACGCCAACGTCCACCCAGAAGGGCGCGACAGGCCGGCGTCCACCCGGCGCCGGGTGGACGCCGGCGTGTCGTGCCCCCTCGGGGCCGCAGCTGGCCCTCCTATGGGGCGGCCGTCTTGGCCGCGAGCGAGTCCAGCCGAATCCAACTCCTGCGGCAAGGGCCCCTTGGGCATGCACTTGCGTAGACGTGCCAAGTAAAAGTGCCCAAGCACCCGGGAAAGGTTTTGCTTGTTGTCGCCCCCGGCAGGTACGTTGCCGTCGGCGCAGCGTCGGGCGCTGCACGCGCGGCCAGGGCAAGCGAGGACGACGGGTGGGAGGGTGAGGAGGAGGAGGAGGAGGAGGAGGAGGAGGAGGAGGAGGAGGAGGAGGAGGAGGAGGCTCCTCTCACCCCCTCCGGCGGGCCGCCGTCGCGCGGCGCGGCGCGGGCCGTGGGGGCGCCACTGTGCCACAGACCCTGCGTGTACAGCGAACGCGGAAGCAGGAGGAGTCGGCCTTGTGAGGCCGCTTTCGGGCCCCAGGACCGTCAGAAACCGACGAGGGGCAACCGTTGGAGCCGCCCCGAACAGCCGCCAGAGGCCCGAGTGACGGCACAAAAACTGCTGAGGAGTCACGCCGAGGTTCGAACCTCGATGGGGGGAGGTGGAGGCGGAGGACGAAAGAGGACCCGCGCGACGGGAAGACGAGGAGGAGGACGACGAGGGAGGACAACGTCGGCGTCGGCCTGCTTGATTCAAGATCCCAAGAAGAAACCTCGAACCTTTAACCCCGCCCCTCCGACGACTAACGGCGCAACGACGACGACGGCGGAGGCGACGGCGAGGGCGCGCCGATGCCCCCAAGAGCGGGCAGATCGCTGGCACCCAGCGGGGCTGACGCTGTTCCCCCCCGGCCCGCCGACGCTGTCTCATCCAGTGGACAAGACTGCCGCCACCCGGTCGCACAGGATCGAAAAAAACTAGCCGGCATAAACAGAAACTTCTGGAGGTCCGCGCGGATTTCTCGGGTCGGCGCTGGAGCCCACCCGGGCGCCGCCCCTGGGTCCAGCGCCGATCCAAGAAATCCGCGCGGACCTCCGAAAGTTTATGTGTATGCCGCTTCTTCCTCTTATGGTTCAGACCACACCAAGATGTCGCATCACTTGGGTGCTCCATGGGGGAACCGCCTGGCACGGGCCCGTTCGCTTTCAATGCATGGAGTGGAGGGGGTGACCGCACGTTCCAACACGGGCGCCTGCGACAAGCGCGTCCAAATGTCACGCCGAGCCGCTGCGCGGCACGCAGCTGGCGCCAGGGGCCCGTGGCCAGAGCCCCCCCTCATCCCTCCCATATCCTCGCCCCGTTCTACACTCCTGGCCTTCGCCCTCCTCTTTCCACCCCTCGATCGTCCTCCTCGTCGTCCTCCTCCTCCACCCCCAATCCAGCTCTGAGCCATAAAAGAAGGCGCGCCGCGAATGCGGGCTCCACCCTGGCCCTACGCCGCCCGCGCACGTTTCAAAGCCGGCTGCAGGCATCGTGGGCCGATCCACCACTCCGCCTCTTCGCTCACAAAGGCGGCCATTATCACGGCGCCCACGCATGCGAAGTGGACGCCTTCTCCGATCAAGCTGCTCGCCGCGGACGCCGAAACAGCATTCACCAAGCTGCCGGCGACCGCATCCGGGAAGCCCATGATTTTCGCCTTGTCCTGGCGGCCGGCGAGGGGGGCACGGGAAATCCCGCCAGCCCTTTGGGCGACAGGCGGTCTAATCAGATTCCTCTTTCCTCTTCCACAACCCCTTCTTCCCTTTCAGGGAGGAGTTTACCCCTCACTCTACCCCTTCCCCGGGGCCTGGACGGGGCGCCCCGCGAAGGGTTGGAGCGCCCAAGATGGCCCAAGATGGCTCCAAGAGGGCCTCCGATGCTCCAAGATGGCCTCCAATATGGCTCAATGGAGTGCAGGATCGCCGCTCAAGATGAGCTCCATCATGCCTCCAAGACTCCAAGAGGCCCGAAGAGCGCCACAAGACGGTTGCAGGTGCTGTTGGATACTCCTCGGGACCTCCCCAAAATGCCCAAATCTATCAAAAGCCTCAAGCACATTGATGATTTTTGCGTTCTCGCTTATTCGATTCCGATGCGCTTCTGAGGCCTCAAGATGGCCCCGAGGCGGTCTAATGAGGCCCCAAGAGAGAGGCCCAAAAGGCCTCCAAGACAGCCCCAAAAACGCCCAAGATCGCCCCAAGAGAAGCCCAAGAGCGCCCCAAGAAGCGAATCGCGATGGCCCCAGAGGGGGGGCGCTAAGGGAAGCCCATCTTTTCACCGACACCCTCCACGTCAGCCCAAAGAAGCCCTCCAGGACTCGCAAGAGGCACCCCCGAAAGCCCCAAGAGCCCTAAGCGGCCCCCAAGACCGCCCGAGATCGCCTGCTGTCGCCCAAGTTGTTGCTTTATGTGCGCGTATGCCTCCGGCATCCCGCCGGGTCTCCTGGGCATCGTTTGGCTGGCGGAGATACGCGAAGCGTCAAGAATAAATCACTGCGCACGTTGCTGCCTGCGCGTTAACAATTGCGCCAAGGGCCTGCCAAGGGCGGCATTCTCCTCATAGATTTCGCGCCGCGGGAAATCGAAGGCCACAAAACCCGAAACCGCGTGAGGATTGGGAGTAGAAGCCGGCCCTCCTGCTCGGTCAACTTGGCATCCAGTTTGAAGCTGTAGATCGTGGAGTTCTGCAAGAAGGTCGCGATGTCGCTGGTCCAGGGCTTGCGGTCTACGTTCTGAGAATAATCAACAAAAAGGCCAGGGGCGCACTGGCCATCGCTGCGGCCGCCCGTGCACTTCATGTGGGTCCACCACGCCACGTCAATGACATCGAGGTGCCGGGGCGCCCGAGACACTCCCGCCAATCTGTGCGTTGATGTCCACGGCGCCGCGTCGAGGGGCATGCCGATGCCACTGCGGACATCCATGCTTCTCTTCTTCCACTTCGGGTCGTCCGGCGCCGCGTCTGGACCAGCCGGGGCGGCCTGCTCCTCCTGCACCTCCTCCTGCACCTCCTCCTCCTCCTCCTCCTCCTCCTCCTCCTCCTCCTCCTCCTCCTCCGCCAACTCTTCACAGTTCGGCCTGCGGGCGGCGCCGCTCCGCGTCGACCTCGAGGATCGACATGACACACGTCGGCGGCGCGTTTTGTCTGTCGGCGACGAGGCCCTGGGAAAGCGGTCGGCGGGGAAGGAGGAAGAGGGGGCGGGCGGGGCTGAGGGAGGGGAAGGAAGACGGAAAAAGGGAGAATGCAGGGCGGATTAATAACGAGAGGAGGGGAGGAGCAGGAAGGAACCTGCGACCCGGGCGCCTCCGGTGGAAAGGCCCCGGCGCCTCTGCAGGGAACCTCCGGGCCGCTCGGGGCCATGACCCGGTCCCGGGAAACAAGCACGAGGGCGTAAACGAGGGCGGGACCAAAAGCGAAACGAAGGCGAGAACGAAAGCCAAACGAAGGCAATAACAAAGGCAAAACGAAGCGAAACGAAGGCGAGGAAACAAGCGACGCGAAAGCGAAACGAGGGCAAGAGAACAAGCGAAACGAAGGCGAGAAAACAAACGAAACGAAAGCGAAACGAAGGCGAGAAAACAAGCGAAACGAAGGCGAGAAAACAAGCGAAACGAAGGCGAGAATGCAAGCGAAGCGAAGGCGAGAAAACAAGCGAAACGAAGGCGAAAAAACAAGCGAAACGAAGGCGAAACGAAGGCGAGAATACAAGCGAAACGAAGGCGAGAAAACAAGCGAAACGAAGGAAAACAAGCGAAACGAAGGCGAAACGAAGGCGAGAATAAAAGCGAAACGAAGGCGAGAAAACAAGCGAAACGAAGGCGAGAACGAGGGCGAAACGAAGGCGAGAAGGAAGGCGAGAACGACGGCGAAACGAAGGCGAAACGAAGGCGACACGAAGGCGAAGCGAAGGTGAGAAGGATGGCGGGGAGGCTCGGGCTCGAGCGGGGGCTGGGGCGAGGGCGGGAACGAGGCCGACCTCAAGAATGCGCCTCTGGGGCTCTGGGGAACCTGCGTGCTGGGCGCCTCCGCGGGACCGCGAGGCGCCTCTGCAGAAACCTCCGGGAGCCTCCGGGGATCCTCTGGGGAACCACCGGGGCACTCCCGGGAATCTCCGGGGAACCTCCGGTGCACTGTCCGAGAAAGCCCAAACTCTGAAAAACCTCCCGGGCGAAACTTTGAGAAAACTCCCGGGAAATTCTGAAACTCTGAAAAAACTCTGAAAAAACTCTAAAAAACTCCCTGGAAATCCGGAAACTCTGAAAAAACTCTAAAAAAACTCCGCCAGAACTCCCGGGGAAACCTGAAACTCTGAAAAAACTCTGAAAAAACTCCCGGACTCTGAAAAAAACTCCCGGGCGAAACTCTGAATAAACTCCCGGGGTATCCGGAAACTCTGAAAAACCTCCCGGGCGAAACTTTGAGAAAACTCCCGGGAAATCCGGAAACTCTGAAAAAACTCCCGGGCGAAACTCTGAAAAAAACTCCCAGGAAATCCAAAAAGGCCCCCTGGGCGCCGCCAGGCCGCTCCGGGCCATCTTCCCACGCCCCCGGGAAACAGGCAGGAGCGCGGGAACGAGGGCGGGAATGAAAGCGAAACAAAAGCGAAACGAAGGCGAGAAAACAAGCGAAACGAAGGCGAGGAAACAAGCGACGCGAAACCGAAACGAGGGCGAGAGAACAAGCGATACGAAGGCGAGAAAACAAGCGAAACGAAAGCGAAACGAAGGCGAGAAAACAAGCGAAACGAAGGCGAGAAAACAAGCGAAACGAAGGCGAAACGAAGGCGAGAAAACCAGAGAAACGAAGACGAGGAAACAAGCGAAACGAATGCGAAACGAAGGCGAGAAAACAAGCGAAACGAATGCGAGAAAACAAGCGAAACGAAGGCGAAACGAAGGCGAGAAAACAAGCGAAACGAAGGCGAGAAAACAAGCGAAACGAAGGCGAAACGAAGGCGAGAAAACAAGCGAAATGAAGGCGAGAAAACAAGCGAAGCGAAGGCGAGAACGAGGGCGAAACGACGGCGAGAACAAATGCGAAACGAAAGCGAGAACGAAGGCGAAGCGAATGCGAAGCGAACGAAAACGGGAACGAAAGCGGGAGCGAAGAGGAAACGACAGCGAGAACGAAGGCAAAACCGGGGCGCAGACGACGGCGACGGCGACGGCGACGGCGACGACGACGACGACAGCGGCGGCGGCGACGACAACGATGGCGGCAGCGGCGGCGACAGCAACGACGACGACGGCGGCGACGACGACGACGACGACGACGACGACGACGACGACGACGACGACGACGACGACGACGACGACGACGACGACGACGACGACGGTAGCTGGCGCTTGACGTGATCGTCGTCGTCGTCGTCGTCGTCGTCTTCGTCGTCATCGTCGTCGCCGCCATCGTCCTCGCCGCCGCCGCAGCTGTCGTAGTCGTCGTCGTTGTCGTGTTCGTGGACGTGATCGTCGTCGTCGTCGTCGTCGCCGCCATCGTCCTCGCCGCCGCCGCAGCCGTCGTAGTCGTCGTCGTTGTTGTGTCCGTCGTGGACGTGATCGTCGTCGTCGTCGTCGTCGTGGTCGTCGTCCCCGCCGCCGACGCCGCCGTCGCCGGAACTGTCGTCGTCGTCGTCGTCGTCGTCGTCGTCGTCGTCGTCGTCGTCGTCGTCGTCGTCGTCGTCGTCGCTGTCGTCGCCGCGGCCGCCGTCACATTTTGGCTCCAGGGGAAAAGAGGAAGAGGAGGAGGAGGAGGAGGAGGAGGAGGAGGAGGAGGAGGAGGAGGAGGACGACGACGACGACGACGACGAAAAAAGGAGGAGGAGGAGGAATTCCTGGAGCTAACATTTTTGCTTCAGGAGTGAGGAGGAGGAAGGGAGGAGGAAAGGAGGAGGAGGAGGGGAAGGAGGAGGAAGAGGAGGAGGAGGCAGAGGAGGAGGAGGAGGAGTTCCTCGAGCTACCATTTTTGCCTCAGGCGCACGCGGGAGAGAGGAGGAGGCGGAAAGGAGGAAAAGGAGGAGGAGAATTCCTGGAGCTAACATGTTTGCTTCAGGGGTGAAGAGGAGGGGGGAGGAAAGAGGGCGGAGGAGGACGCGGAGGGGGAATTCCTGGAGCTAACATTTTTGCCCCGGGGGTCAAAAGGAGACGAGGGAGGAAACGAGGAGGATGAATTCGTGGAGCTAACATTTTCGCTTCAGGAATGAGGAAGAGGAGGCGGAGAGGGAGGTGAAGGAAAGGATGTGGAGGAGGAGAAGGAGGAATTTCTGTAGCCAACATTTTTGCTTCAGGAGTGAGAGGGGGTAGGACCGGGTAGGAGGGGGAGGACGAGGGGGAGGAGGAGGAAGAGGAGGAAATGAGGAGGATGAGGAGGACGACGACGAATTGCAGGAGCTATCATTTGTGTTTCAGGAGTGCGAAGGAGGGAAAGGAGGAAGAGGAAGAGGAAGAGGAAAGAAACGGGGGAGAAGGAGGAATTCCTGGAGCTAACATTTTTGCTTCAGGAGGAGGAGGAGGAGGAAGAGGAGGAGGAAGAGGAGGAGGAGGAGGAGGAACGGAGGAGGAAGGGTTGCCCGGCCCGCCCTCCTCGGGGACCCCCCTCTGCCCCCACAGAACCTGCCCTGACTTCAAAAATTGCGAAAATATTCAGACAGAAATGTTTCCATCGGTTCCGGCCTCTCGGAGCCGTTTCTGGGCCCCGCGACCGTCATCAGACATTTGTCCATGAAGAAAAACGGGCCCTTGGCAAGTTGTCCAGATCTCCAGGGACCCCGTCCGACCGCGCATCGAATAAAAATGGAGCGCGCGGGTGTCTGCGTCGACAGAACGATCGGTACAATATGTGCTCTTCCCGTGCGGCGTGAGCCCTCCCGGGGGGTTGGCGCTCGCATCAGGGCTTACCTTCCCCGAAGGTTCCCAACGGGTGAGGTGTTCACCAAGGGCCGTATATCTTGATTGCCCCGGGGCCCCGAAACGGCTCCCAGAAATTAAAAATATGGGAACAATTTCAGATGTGATTTTTCAAAGATGGGCCCCAAGAGCGCAGGCCCCGATGGCGCCAAGAGGCATCCAGACGGCCCCGAAAAAAGCTTCCAAAAGGCTCCCAAGACAACCCCCAGGGACCCCCGGGAGACCTCAAGAAGGCCCCTACGCACACAAGTTGTTCAAATACGCAACGGAGCCCGCCAAGAGGACCCCGCCTGCCCCCAGAAGATGTTTGTGTTGTCCATACTAGAAGGCAGACACCTGCAACCGCGTTAACTTCAAATTCCAATCGGTCTCGCCGTTAACGGCCACTTTAGTTTCCAGGCTTCCAGGCCAGCACGGCGACTTTTCGATTGTGGACACTACAGAACACCCAACGCCGCGTGAGAATGTTCTGTGATGTCCACCACAGACATCTTACACAAAACTCTTGTTACGGCCGGAACAAGGCCACAATAACATCGGACAAGAACATGAGACCCTCCGCGGGCCAAAGTACCCCAAACCATAAGGACGTCGAGGACGCCCTTCCGAGGTGTCCCCGACCTTCACTTCCGAGCCAACGTGCCTAAGTACGCATCTGGTTCAGCCCCAGCCTAAAGCCTTCGACTGCACAGCCTGGACCACGCAACCCCGAAGCCCTGACCCCCCCCCCCCGCCCCCCGAGACCCACGCTGTGTTCCTGTGCCCTGGATCTGCCCCCGCGCGCCCGTCGTCATCCACGAGCGCGCGGTTGCTGGAGGCAGCACGTTGACATCGAGACCGAAGAACATGGAGGGTCTTGTCCGCGCCGCGGACGCGCGAAGCCTGCGACCAGCTTAGTCGGGCTCTAGCAGCAGTGGGCCTCAGCGCCACGTCTCACGCCCTGGCACTCATGCGCGCGCGCGAGCTCTCGCCCCAACCCCGCGGCGCCCCAGGGAGCCTCGCGCGACCTCGCCTGCTCGCCCCAGACTCCAGGCCGCGGCCGCGCGGCCCGGCCCCGCCACCCTTAGCCCAGCTCCAGGCTGCTGTTGCCCCAAAACAAGAACATGCGAGGGTGTGCGTCTCCGCGCCGCCGCCATCCACGAGCGCGCGGCTGCTGGAGGCGACACATTGACACCGAGACCGAAGAACATGGAGGGTCCTGCCCACGCCGCGGACGCGCGAGGCCTGCGGCCAGCTTAGGGCTCTAGCAGTGGGCCTCA